TAAAATTTGAATATAAAGTAGTCTTAAAAATTAATAATTAGTTTGATCAATAAATATAAAAATGATTTCAATCAATTAAAGAAAAAATAATTTATAATTAATAAATTAAATTAAATAGTATTTAATAGATTGATTAGTTGAACCGACCAATCAAATCGATTCAACCGAGGTTGATTCAATTGGTTGAACGAGGCCTGGTGACTAAAATGAGTCGATCACTAAGTCAGGCTTTAAAACATTGCAAAAAATCATGAATAGATTTCATAGAGACAAAGCATTAAAGATGAACTAGATGATGAAACTAAAGAAAGCCGAAGGTGGAAAAGAACCGTGATGGCGATAGCAATTGCATCACCTATAGGGCCAGGGGCAGCCTACCATGTGTCGAGGCTGACGGAGGGGATTTTGACTCCAATTATCAATTGGAAGAATTTGATATCACTGGCCATCTCGAAAATAAAGGGACCCAGAAGGGCATTCTAACATTCTTCCTCTCCTTCTACAACAAAGCTTATGTGATCTACCTTAGTGTGTTCATTGAATAAACACCAAATCCAACAAGGAGAGAATCCAAATCTAGGCCTCTTTGTCCCTCGGGCCGACCTTGCATGATAGACTAGACTCCTCTTGCCTTCTTCTCCTTCCTTTTCTAGCAAAGCTCGTGAGACGAAGATCCCCTATGAGTTTCCCCATGCTAGCATTGTTCAGATTTAGAGCCATGGCAAATGATTTACAAAACAATAATGAACCTGATCTGATTCACAAAGCGAGTAGAAAAACCTAAAGTTTGGAAAGAGATTTTTTATTCAAAAAAAGGCAAAGTGATTTTCTTGAACCAAGCATAGGAATTAGAATCGATTTGGTTAATGGAGGCAAGGCGATTAGGGGGTTATTGGTAAGAATGTGTATGGAGCATATTGTGATTTGTGATGATTAACAAGATCGAGTAGAGGATTGCAAAGAAAGAGATTATGGATTTGATTTACAAGGATTTGAAGGTGAGATTGAAGGTAATTGAGAAGTTGATGAGCTTGCTTTTTAGGTTAGATTCTATGAGAGGAGTGGCCTTTGGGGTTGGGGATTCATTAATGCTTCTAGAAGTTTCGCATAGAGGATAAGAATTAGGGAAGAAGAAGAAGAATGGCATTTTGGTCATTTAGGTTTTAAATTTATTTTTATTAAAATTTCCAAATCAACATTTCTTTTTAAAGTTTATAAACCATATCATAGTACACATGTGTAATT